TTGAATCTTATCTGTAGTGGGATGTTATCACCCCCCCCCCCCCCCCTCAACAAACCTTGAGTCTCTGTCCTCCTTGTCAGACTTCCTAGTTAATTTAATTTACAGTTCAAAGAAATTCTACTCGCAGGAGATTTCAGTGTTGACTGGAAAATAAAACAAGCCCCCCTCTGTGATAAATTCAAGGATGTTGCTTGTTAATTAATTTGACCCAAATCATTGACACCCCCACCAGACCAAACAAGCATTGTCCTGAAAATCTTCCATTTTAGACCTCTTTTTAACAAATATGCCCCTATAAATTCCCTGGTCTGGGTGTTTTTGCTGATGATATGAGTGATCATTGTGTTACTGGAATTCTTAGAGACACTAGACTACCTCACTCTGAGCCCAGATTAATTCAAAAAAGGGATTTGAAACATTTTTGTGAGCAGACTTTCCTATGCGATTTATCTCACTTCGATTTGGCACCGTATTCTGTTAACTGATGACGTGAACTCCACTTGGAACTATTTTCAAAATAGTTTCATCTATTTAGTAAGCAAACGTGTTCCTTTTCTCAAATTCAGAATAAAGGGACGAGACAAGCCCCTGGTTTACTCCTGATCTAGCTGACCTCCTGCACAGGAGAGATCATCTTTGGGCCTCCGCAAGAAAATCTGGCTCAGACATTGACTGGTTGAATTTTCGGCAGATGAGGAATAAATGCACAACTGCCGTCAAAGCCGCAAAACATAACTCTTTCTTATCTCAGACCTCCAGAAACCTAAATGATCCTAAAAGATTCTGGAAAACCATCAAATCTCTCTCCGGCAGCTCCCAATCATCTGACCTGCCATCACAACTTCTTGTTAAATCTCTCAAATCTCTCCTACAAAAATCCAAATCTCTCCTACAAGTTCCTTCAGTAAATCACACACAAATAACAGCTGCTCAGATGCAATTAATTATGGGCGATTCCACCTTCTGCACCACTCAAGCAGCCACTAAGTCAGCATTATATGATAGAACAGGGATTTTATTTACAGTAGTGAATTTATTGACTTTGTGGGGTCTTACCAACTTCAAGCCAAAACAACAAACAAAACAAACCACTGTATTTTCTCTTACCTGAAGAAAAATAAAATGAACCAAACCACAAGTCTCTTACCTCACTATGCTAATGGAATACAGGAAAAAAGTTAAAATAAAGTGGCAGCTCGCCTCTACAAACTCCTCACAAAACTTTTTACAACTACAGGATCTAAAGTTGATGACAGCAGGTCAGCTGGTTGGGAAAGGAAGCAGACGTCATGCTTCTGCTGCTCCTCTTATCACAACAGAGTACCTGCACAATAATTCACACGTTTTTGTCTTTCACTTTTTTTTTTTTTTTGATAATTCACACACAACTAACAGTTTCACACAAGCACACACAAAGTATGCCTTACAGTGATTCCTGATGGATGATCCAGTTATTTAACAGTCAACAATGTGTACCACAAGGCTCAGTCTTAGGACCCACCCTCTTTACAATCTACATAGGTAATGTAGGTCAGAGCATCCCTGATTAGGGGTTGAACGAGTATATAATTTTTAAACTCGACATTAACATAATAAAACCCGAGTAGAACTCGAGAATTTGATGACGTCATAGATCTCAAGATACAAAAATAAATAAAACCGCAAAAAAAGGTAATTATTTACAAAAATAAGACTAACAAAACATTGGGAGCGTATATTTTGCTCCTACCATTTATCATACTGCAAATAAGTCACAGGAAATACTAAACTATTTGTTATTATTATTAAACTGCAAACGTGAAGAAACGTGCAGCACGTCAGAAACAAAACTTAAACCGAAACTGGTTCTGGTTCGGTGGATTGGACCCGGTGTTGCACCATACTCTGTGACCTGCAACAGTGCAACACCGCCCCCTACGGTCATACGGTGGTCACATAATATGACGTCACTACGGATACTCGACGTTACATTTTTAACCTCGATAGATGTCCTAGCAATCGATGTGTAGATTACTCGAGTACTCTGTTAATGCCCTACTGATGACACAGTTGTTTATTGTTGAGCTAAAACAGTTGCTAAGGCTTTCCAGCTTTTACAATTACACATCTAGAATGGGACCATCAATGCAGAAATGTTTATACAGGTCTTAGAATAACGTGTAGGGAAGGCCTGACGAAGTTAAATCACATCTATTACAGCAGCACGGCGTCCTTTTAGAGGAACCAGGGTCCTTAACCTGCAGTCCAGACATCTCACAAACTGAAAACATTTGACGCGTCATAAAACAAAACATCCAGCAAAGACCCGGAACGGTTGAACAGCTGGAGTCCTACATCAGACAAGAACAGAATTCCTCTATAAAAACTCCAGCTGGACTCCTTGGTTCCTGCACATTTACAGACTGTTGGTAAAAGATGATGGTTCACAGCAGTAAACATGACCCTCTCCCAACTTTTGTTGCTTCCATCAAATCAAAAAACTTCTTTTTATGGTACAGTTTCTTAGTTTAAACATTTAATGTTTACTATAAGAGAAGATATAACTTTATTGATCCTGCAGGAACTTGTTGTGCCAGAGTTTCAGTACAAAAGAACATACACAAGGAATCACACAAGATGTAAAAAATAACATAGAACACATTTTACACATTGTCTCCACGTTGTTAGAATCAGAGTTGTGTTGAGTTTCATAAGGCCTGTTTCATGCGCTCTGTAATGTAATTTAAATCATCTTATCATTGAAACAAATGGTTTCTGCGTGAGTTTATTAAACACTTTCGTTCTGTTAATCTGTTCACAGTGTTCAGATTATAGTTTAAAAATGGCCTTTGGGCATATTTTAATCAAAACAGCAAAGAGTACAAACCTGTTGACTTCATATACATGTAATGTTTTTTTTTCCTCTTCTCAGAGGGCAAGTCTGAGCGTGCCCAGATATAATGAATGTCTGGTCACAAGCCATGCTTCTGCACCACAAACTAACTCAAAGAGCTGGCACCAGGCCCGACGGTCTCATTATTGAACAGGAAGTTTTTCATTAATCAAGTTTCTGTAGAAACTCATGCTCAATAATCCAGATATAAAATCCAACAATTGTCAGTCAGGTCATCTGGATGGTTTCTTTTTTTTTTTTTGTGCTGAGATGTTTCACCCTCCATCCAGAAGGCTTCATCAGCCTGAGGAAACGCCAAACAAAACTGTTTCTCCCTCAACAGCTTACTCCAAAGTGAAAAAACCCAGTTACGTTGGTGTTGAGATGGTCTCTGGGGGCACGCCCTCTCCTCCAGTGCCTGCCCTCTCCCTCGTCGACAGTCATGTCAAACTGGTTCAAAACACCAAAGTCCATGCTCAAGTTTCTGTAGGTTTCTGCCTGCGGTCTGACACAGATCAGCTGCTTGTGGAAAAAACGGGCTGCTGCACAGGTAGTTCAGCTTTCACTCCCATCGGAGAGGTTCCATCGATGATGGTTTAATTTAGGGTGCACCGATTGCAGTTTTCTGGCCGATCACTGTTCGGCGACATCTAAAAGGCCCGATCTGCCGATTCTGATTTTGTTTTATGAACGACACTTACAAGTGTTATAAGGTCACAATGCACCTTCGATTTTCCAATCTTGTTTTATTGAAAAACATACCCTTGAACCATATCCTAGAAACAAATCAAACTTGTTTTAACTGGCCATGAGGTAGTGCTCTGAAATATAAATGAAGTTCAGACAATTGTGGTTAAAACTAAAAAAAATCTGTAAAATCAGTTTCTCATTTAAGTATCGACCGATTTCCCAAAATTAAGGACATCTGTGCACCCCTAGTTTAGTTACATCAGCAGTGGTTGGAGGGAACTGAAGGCTTTATTTAGTTGTACTGTAGTCACTCTGTGGAAATGAAAGAACAGAAAAGTTCTCCTTTTGCATCAGAATTTCACTATTATGGCTTCGGTCTAGGGGCAGGGCAGCCGACTCGGGATCCGAAGGTCCTGGGTTTGATTCCCGGTCATTGCCCATCTCTTGATGTCTCTGAGCAGGACACCCTATCCCCAAGCGCTTTCCATAGCTGCCCACTGCTCCACCTGGTGGTGGATGAGTTAAAAGCAGAGAGCCAATTTCACCATTGTATGGAAACATACAATGATGACAACATATACACATTATTATTATTATTATTATTATTACTGTTATTAGTATTGCGGACTCTGTACCGGTCCGTTGTGGTGAAGAGAGAGCTGAGCTGTAAGGAAAAGCTCTCTGTTTACCAGTCGGTCTATGTTCCTACCCTCACCTATGGTCATGAGCTCTGGATAGTGACTGAAAGAACGAGATTGCAGGTGGTTGAAATGGTAAGGATGCCCCCATGGCGCCTCCCTAGAGAGGTGCTTCGGGCATGTCCAACTGGGAGGAGACCCCGGGGAAGACCCATGACACGCTGGCGAGACCGTCTCTCGGCTGGCCTGGGAACGCCTTGGAATCCTCCTAGAAGAGCTGGAAGAGGCGGCTGTGAAAAGAGATGTCTGGACATCCCTGCTCAAGCTGCTGCCCCCACAACACGACTTCGGAATAAGCGGAAGATGATGGATGGATGAATATTAGTATTATCATTATTGCTTCGGTTTTTATGACCTACGTGAGTCATTTTGATGATGCTGACGCCTCCGTCCTCTGTGTCGTTTGTTTCAGCTCTGACGGAGAGTGTGAAGCTGTGCGGCGCAGAAGCTCTGGCTCTGCTGGGACACATGAAGCGCCAGGACGGCCTGGCTGCAGCGGACAACAGGAAGCTAAGAACTGCTCTGGAGGCCATCATGGCCACGGCAGAGGTCCATGCTTCATACTTTTCATGTTTACACTCGGATATGGTGAAACCAATGAGCCCTGTCATCCCAGAGTTGCAGATAAATGTTTTGTTGTGACATGTTCAGTAAATGTCCTTGCTCTTTTTCGCTGTTGCAGAAACTTCGCCCCCGGGGTTTGGAGCTGCAGCAGGGGGAGCTGGGAGATCTCGTGGAGCAGGAAATGGCTGCGACCTCTGCAGCCGTGGAGTCGGCAGCAGCTAGGATAGAGGTGAATACCTCTGCTTGTGTGTGTTTAGGTGAACTTTCTGTGAGAAAGCACTGGCCCGTGGTTTCACTTCACAAGAGCGCTCACTTCAAACTGTCCCTTTGTCTTTCTTTGTCCTCCCCTGTGTCCCAACAGGAAATGCTCAACAAGTCTCGAGCAGTTGATACAGGAATCAAGATGGAGGTCAACGAGAGGTAAAACTGATTGGAGCAGATTGTGGGATTAGTTTTCCCTCTTTTCATCAAGTCTTTGTCACATGTAGACCCAGAAACTGATGAAATGCTGAGCTCATTACTGGCTGGATATGAAATTGCATAACTCTTTGGTCTGAAAAAGTCAATTTCTTGTTTAAAGAAGTCAAACCTTTTACAAACCATTGAGAAATCATCCTTCTTGCTGGATTTATTCTTTCAGTAACAACATTATTTCAGTCACTTCCTGTTAGGTTTTGCAGCATTTAATTATTAAGATCATCATTATTATTATTATTATTATTATTTATTTTAGTTACACACCATTGCTTTTGGATGAATTGTCTGAATGAACTGTGATGTCAGAACTGGACCATAGCAAGGATCATAGCACTAAATTTACTACAATATTACTAATGAGTTTAAATCTGGAATAGAAATGTTTGCAGACAAACTGCAGAAATAACATTTGGAAAAGTAGTACAGATAGTGCATTTTATTGACGCTCCCAGAAAGTAATGGCTGGACGTGCATTTACAACTGAGTCGATGCAATCCAAGATACCGCCACAGCTGAATAACCTCAGCAAATACAAAAATGGCTATATCTCAGTCAGTTGTACAGACTTTCCTTTTGTTTCAGTAGTAGCTGAGAGTTGTCCTCCAAACGTACTCAGACGTCAGCAAAAGAGCCGTTGCCTCAGGGCAGTGACATCAGTTTTGTTGCAGGGTTGAAGACGGCAGCCATGAGCTGAGCCTCATTCAC